GTTTATGGCACAGGATACGCCAGCAGACCACGAGACTGATCCAGTCTCCTATTTGAGCCGCACCTCATGAACCGGCATGCGAGCAGCCACTTTATGTACATTCAGAACAGGACGTCATCACCGCAGACAAGAGCTGGATGACCACCGCTGCCTGCAGCGGATGATGTCAGCTGCCCAGCAGACGGAGCGAGACGTGACCCGTGCACGCGAACACGGATGACCACCACGGCCTGAGGTGGATGATGTCAGCTGCCCAGCGGACGAAGCAGGATGTGACCCGTGCACGCGAACACGGATGACCACCGCGGCCTGAAGCGGATGATGCCTAGCAAACGGAACAGGACGTGACCTGTGCACGCGGACACGGATGACCACCGCGGCCTGAAGCGGATGATGCCAGCTGCCCAGCAGACGGACCAGGACGTGACCCGTGCACGCGAACACGGATGACCACCGCGGCCTGCAGCGGATGATGCCTTGCAAACGGAGCAGGACGTGACCCGTGCACGCGAACACGGATGACCACCGCGGCCTGCAGCGGGTGATGCCAGCTGCCAACCAGACGGAGCAGCACGTGACGCATACGCGCGAGCCAGTTGGTCCGCCACGCGCTGCCAATGCGGAGTGGCCATGTTACGACTCGCGTTGATCAGCAGTCTGCAGACTCCCGCCAAAGGGCGGGGGTGACGCGGACTGCGAGTGAAGATCGTTTCTGCCTTTAGTGTACTATTGCACATTAAGGCCATGGCGACGGTTGAGGTGGTTTTAAACCAAGTACGTTTAAACCAAGTTTCGCCGCTGATGCTAGCGAAAAAAACTAGATTACTTCATACGTTTCAAGCCAGGTTAGGCAGCCTGAGCGAACAGCGTGGAACGGAGGCATATCAAGGATGTCTGCTTTCACATGCCTTGTTTCCTGTTCAACATACCGCACACAAAGTGTTCTTTAATGCGTGCGTTCCCACTGTAGGACCACCTCACCTGGCATTGATTCTGTGACTAAACGGTAAAGCCTCCAGCACTTCGCTCTCACGGTACGCATAAACCAGCGACTTGTAAAAGGCCGACACTCAGTCATTTGAGATGCCTCAGACAAGCTGAGGTGCCCTTTATGCGCATGAGGTAGTCATGTCGTACTCTGTTGACGATATTTCTGCGTTTCCACCGGAGGGCCGTGGAGCTGCATCCCAGTTCTCGAGATATCTTTCTTGTTCCGGTCTTGGTGTGGGACAGGACACTGACCGGCGCTCCGCGGAGCACGTTTAAACGCGTCTGGCTTCGCAAACCAACACCGATAGTCAAACTTTATTGTTCTGTCCTGCAACCTAGCGTGAGACGACCAGAATGTGGAAGATGCTGATAGCGTTTTTTTCTTTACAATGACGCTGTATCATGAACGTGCAACTAATATGTATAGTGCTAAGTTACGCTCTATGTCATGCCATGCCAGACCTATCTCCCAATGCACTAAATGGAAAAGATCTTTACCAGTCAGGATTGCAAACAAGACGGATAAGCTCCAGCATTTATATTCGACCATTATTACAGCACAACAACTCAAAGCCACATATAAGTTCAATTGTCAGTGCATGAAGTAATTGACTAGAGATGTTCACGGCAGCATAAGCACACACCAGACCCTACACGAGCATTCTGGACGGACTAGTATCGAGCTCACAGCGGCCGGCATCGCACTGCCTTTGTCTTTTTCACCAGAAACGTACATGGAGGTTAAGGGAGCGAAATCTCGACCCTGAGATCATGCGAAGATAGCCACATCACAGCGCAAGCACCGGGAGCAGCCAGCGGCAGGTGCTCCCCTCTGGTGACGAGATCGGTAAACACGGCTCCATCGGTGGCAACATGGCCGCCTCAACCAATTAGATCGCGAGACCTAATGACGAGGAACACGGCAATGCGCCCGAGCGACATCCAGTTCATCTGCGGTTGCCATGGAAGCTGAGAGAAAACACAATGAGCCGCACGGAGAACGAAAAACAGCGCTCCTCAGGGCGCAGCATACAAGACAATTAACGGATGTACAACAGCCGACAATACTGCGAACTCAAACGGGATGACAACACAGCAACGACATTTGAGTAATATGGTATTCGAGCAAATACAACTACCTTCAAAGCATGCACCTCTCATTTCCAACGTACGACACACATCGACAAATAAAACAGGACATCTAACGGCCTCCGAAACGCATTTGCCTGATTATCATGTACCCGTGACGAAGATAACAGAGACTCCGCTGGCCGATGTACAGCGGCAGCAGGCGTGGACGGAACTGCTCCGGATGCTGCGGATGGAAATTACAGAGACTCCGCTGGCCGATGTCCGGCGGCAGCAGACGTGGGCGGGACTGCTCCGGATGCTGCGGACGGAGATTACAGAGACTCCGCTGGCCGATGTACGGCGGAATCAAACGTGGACGGGACTGCTCCGCATGCTACGGACGGAGATTACAGAGACTCCGCTGGCCGATGTGCGGCGGCAGCAGACGTGGACGGGACTGCTCCGGATGCTACGGACGGAGATTACAGAGACTCCGTTGGCCGATGTACGGCGGCAGCAGACGTGGACGGGACTGCTCCGCATGCTACGGACGAAGATTACAGAGACTCCGCTGGCCGATGCACAGCGGCAGCAGGCGTGGACGGAACTGCTCCGGATGCTGCGGATGGAGATTACAGAGATTCCTCTGGCCGATGTACGGCGGCAGCAGACGTGGGCGGAACTGCTCCGGATGCTGCGGACGGAGATTACAGAGACTCCGCTGGCCGATGTACGGCGGAATCAAACGTGGACGGGACTGCTCCGGATGCTACGGACGGAGATTACAGAGACTCCGCTGGCCGATGTACGGCGGCAGCAGACGTGGACGGGACTGCTCCGGATGCTACGGACGGAGATTACAGAGACTCCGCTGGCCGATGTACGGCGGAATCAAGCGTGGACGGGACTGCTCCGCATGCTACGGACGGATATTACAGAGGCTCCGCTGGCCGATGTACGGCGGCAGCAGACGTGGACGGGACTGCTCCGGATGCTACGGACGGAGATTACAGAGACTCCGCTGGCCGATGTACGGCGGAATCAAACGTGGACGGGACTGCTCCGCATGGCACAGGCGGAGATTACAGAGACTCCGCTGGCCGATGTACCGCGGAAGCAGACGTGGACGGGACTGTTCCGGATGCTGCGGACGGAGATTACAGACACTCCGCTGGCCGATGTACGGCGGCAGCAGACGTGGATGGGACTGCTCTGGATGCTGCGGACGGAGATCAGAGACTCCGCTGGCCGATGTACGGCGGTAGCAGACGTCGATGGACCTGCTCCGAAAACTGCAGAGGCAGCTTAAGTGGAATGACTGACTGACTGACTTCATTGACCAACACGGCGATGGGAGACCTGGATAGAGCCTGGGTGACCGATGCAGGGGTAACCGATATTAAAAGAATCCCACTGAGCTTAAGCACTACCTTGCAGGGAGAGTGGGAAAATATCCCTCCGTTGCAGAATTCGCAACGACCTCCGGTACCCATCAGGTGTTTTCACAGAGCCCAGCAGGCGGAGCGGATGGCAGGCTCATGCACACCTCTCGAATGGTTAGGACTAGTTCGGGGATCGCAGCTCGGATATCGACTCAGCGCAGCTGGTCCAGGTGTACATAACGGAGAAGACAGCGATGCATCAAAACAGGTTCCGAGCTATACCCAACCATTCTCTTCGACAGGCAACATCAAAGGATCGGACAGCAAAATCAGATAAAAAGAATGACAATACAACCACAGCAGAAGAAATGGTAGCCGGCTGACGCAGATCATAGCACAACGTCATTACCGTAACGGCAGTCAAACACAGCAACCAAGGCAAGCAGGGATCCGAGAAACCGAGGCAGTCGCTGTGACAGAGCGCGGGCAGCCCGCGGCGCCGTCAGCGAGCAGCCAGCACGCGCGCGCTGGCGGCGCCCGTGCCGCTCCGGACCGACTGGCAACGCGTCCGCCGTGTTCGGTGCCGGTCACTCGGCGGTGGCGTCCATCATGTGCAGCAGGTCCGGCTGGTCGCCGGCCGACACATCCACCGTCATGTCCTGCATGACCCGCTCCAGGTGTCGGCAGTGCTGGCGCGTGCCCACCACCGGCGCGCCGCCGTCCTCGGTCGGCTCCCTACGGCCAGGCAGCGCACGTCACACGCGCCGAGTGGGAGGGGGACAACCGGCGGCGGACGCCACAGACGACGCAACGGAAACGGAGACCGACGAGCCCAAACTACGGGCACGAAAGACAACGGAGACAACAGGGACAAGGGACAGCGCAGACAGGACACGGAAAAGACGAGCGATGCCAGGGGTGGTAGACAGCAGCACAAGCGGGACACGGAGGACACGAGCGATGTCAGGGATGACAGACGTCAGGGACGGCAGACGGCACGGACGAGACATGGAGGACACGAGCGACGTCACAGATATTAGACGTTAAGGACGTCAGGGACCGCAGACGGCGCAGACGGGACACGGAGGACACGAGCGACATCAGAGATGACTCACGCCAGGGACGTCAGGGACGGCAGACGGCGCAGACGGGACACGGAGGACACAAGCGATGTCAGAGATATTAGACGTTAGGGACGTCAGGGACGGCAGACGACGCAGACGGGACACGGAGGACACGAGCGATGTCAGAGCTATTAGACATCAGGATGTCAGGGACGGCAGACGGCGCAGACGGGATACGGAGGACACGGGCGACGTCAGATATATCAGATGTTAGGGACGGAAGACGGTGAAGCCACGACGCGACAAAGACGAGAAACGGAAAACAACAGAGAAGGGAGGCACGCACGTCAGTCGCGCGGCAGTCTCCAAAGACAGCAGACCGCTGTACACACGTCAGCGAAGGGAAAACGAAACCACATCCCTGCGACAGACAATCGCCTGCAGACACAGCCGGTGCACGGCACGGTCAGCAGACGGAATACGCACATGTCAGCGGATTCGGCAGCCTCGGGCGCTTTCGCCAGACCCCACCGGCCGTATGGGTCCGACCCCGCCGACTGACCCGGAGCCGGCGGCGGCAGAAGCAGCAGCAGCGGCGGCGACGGCGGCCGGGCCCGGCAGGCTCAGCCGGATCTCGCACTCCTTGGCGGCCGTCTGGCCGATCAGCTGCGCCAGCAGGTCGAGCGCCTGGGAGGCGCGCGCCGCCGGCGGGCCGTGCTCGGGGCCCGGCGGCGTGACGGTCGACGGCCGCGACCCGGACGGTGCTGCCTCCCCCTCTTCACAGCTGTATCTGCGCCACCAGGAGCCGTCGTCAGAGGGACGGCTCAGGAGATACGGCGCGTCAAGCCACACGTGACGCCGCTGACACTCAGTGCTGAAGCCGTTAGTTCCGCAGTGTGGCGGGAAGATGTACGCCACACTGAGAGTCGCCCAATTTCAGAAGTATACGGCTCGCAGCCCGCGGGCGAAACGCCTCACGGGGAGCAGAAGCCCCCCTCCCCCACAGACACGTGATAGATAATGACCATCCCGTGGGCAACGCGCACGAAAAGTGTCGTCAGTATCCAGCGTCAGCTGGAGACGGCCCCTTGCCGTCCGGTCCAGTCCGGTCCGGTCCTGTCCGAGAGCCTCCGCACGCACATATTGGTTCCGAGCTCCGTGCCGCGGTCGGCGTTTTTGGCGAGCGAGGCCGGCTTGAGCGGTGCGCTGAGCGCGTCCTTGAGCGGGAAACTGCCGGCGTCGCAGATCTCGCCCCGCTCGTCGAAGTAGCGGATCTCCCCCGGCATGGGCACACCTGCGGAACACGGGTGCGGCGTCGGGCCCCGCTCAGCTGCCGGCCAAGCCCACCACCTTGTCGCCCAATGTAAGCGCACCTGCCGCCTCAGACCAGGACGACTTCTGAGCACACTCAGACTGAAGGCGCTGATGCGATCTACACAAGTCTTACGTCAAGGGGCTCCGTAGAACAAACAATAAATCTGAAACAAACGCATGTGGACTACATAAGAACTCAAGCAGGACGTCGGGAATGTTTTTTTATTGGTCATCGCTACACACCGATCCCACAAAGCACCGCAAACAGTATCGCGGTTAACACCAAGCTCTGTTCTCCACATCAATGCACGACTATCCTTACCTTCAGGCAGAGGGCCGGAAATGTCGATAACGAAGTTGCCGTTCGGGTTTTGCCGTTTGTCCTTGAGGAAAATGGAGACCTTGACACGGTAGTCCAGAAAGAAGTTGAGGATCTCGTACCGAATGTCTTGCATCTCTCCGGCCGACAGATTACCGTAGCACTGTCAGGAGCCGAGGTCCAGTCACAGCCGGCGCGCAGCTTGAGAGGGAGCTTACGAGTTCTCCAGGCCCGAAGACATGCCAAAGCTCTCATGGTTAGTCTCCACGCCCCGCCCCCCCCCCCCCCCACACACACACGCGCGCACGCGCGCACGCACGCACGCACGCACGCACGCACGCACGCATGCACGCATGCCCGCACACGCAGGCACGCACGCACGCACCAACAATTAGACTCAACCGACGCTCTAGCCTCGGCAGACGCCAAAGATCACTACAGCAAACCGTGCGAGCATGTGCGGCTGAAATTGTCCCGATTTGGAACAGCCACAGAGCCTTGCCAGAACCTCCACAACAGACACAGCGTTAAACGAGTCATATTTCAGGCCACAATCTGTGCTTGTCGAAAAGCCGTGACCACGGTTTCCGGCACGACGCCCTCTGTCGCCGCTGCGGTGCCACGCAGCGTTCGTGGGCGTACCTGAACCAGCAGGTGGTAGGCGGCGTCGACCTGGCGCTGCACGCGCGGTGCCGTGGCGTACTCCGCCATGCGGTCCAGGTGGTTGAGCGTGACCAGCAGCAGCTGCTGCGGCGAGGCGCACTGCTCCACCTGGTACTTGAACACCATCACCATCAGGTCGTACAGCTGCGCCGGGCAGGGCAGGGGGGGGGGGGAGTTAGGCACGCCGGCGCCAGGCGGGACGGACCGCCGCCGCGCCCAGAGCGCCGGGACACTCGCAGCACAACCCCGATTCGCTTCAGCTAACCGGATTCAATACGCTGGCTCGCAAGACGCACCTCACATCCGACAGAATGAGACCGAGAAGAGGTTGAGACAGCCCATTTACTGTGTGGCAATGGAGATAAAAAAAAACAGCTTGCGTGCTGAATCTAGCGGAAATATCTATTGATAACTTTTGATATTCCAGTAAACAAACACACCCAGAAATTAAACCAACAGAGAAAGTGCATTTGAAAGTTGCCTGCGGCTGCGACGACCCCAGCCCGGCGTGACCGTCTCGCGCGGCAGGGGCCGGCTGGCGGCCGGGCTGCGTCGCCAGCCGCACCTTGTCCATGCTGGACTTGTTCAGCCGCATGATGGAGCTGTGCGCCAGCCGGTAGAAGATGGTGCGCAGGCCCTGCGCCGAGTACAGCGGCTGCGGCCGGAACAGCTCCTCCACAAACCGGCCCGTGTACATCAGGCCCAGGATGTCGTCCAGCACTGGCGGACAGCCGACGTCAGCGCAACCCGGGCGGAGCCTCGTCTGGCAACGCGCCAACGTCATCAGACAAATCTGTGGGGCTCAATGCGTCGGCACACGAGCCGGAAACAGGCCAGCTTCAACGCAGACTTTGATGCCTGTGTCTAGGTTCAATTGGAAGGCTGGTTAAAGAAGGCTGTTCATGGTCGCCGGCGCCTGCTTATGGCAGCTTAACTCCAGGAACCTGGTCGCATAAGGGAGCAGCACGCCAGTCGGTAGAAGATGGCGCACAGGCCCTGCGGCGAGTACAGCGGCCGCGGCAGGAACAGCTCCTCCACAGGAAGGAGCTGTGCTTTGAGGAAGTGCGGTTTTAAACAATCGCCTGATATTTGGACAAATATAAAGAACATTTCTTCAGCCTTTCAGTTCAGCTGTTCGAGGTCCCCGCAAAACACCCCATAAGATATTCGACCTGACGGTAAAAACTTATTTTGTTTCGTGAGCTTAACCTTACGGAATTGAGTGCATTAACCGCATTTTTTACTTAATTTGCACCTGTGCATTTAAGGACATGGCCGAAGAACATTTGCTCCCCTCTGTTCGATGAACTAGGCATGCCAAAAGCAAAAAGGTTATGTACATGAAAATTCGAAACTGTGTTATCCTCTCAGCTAAATTTACGAATCGCACTCATCCAACAAACACGCACGCACAGCAGATGGTTCAACCACAGCTACCATATAAAGCCCAGAGTTCCCCAACAACCGATATGATAGATTCTTCTAACCTTTCTCGGCTTTTCCCTGATGAATGTCTTGAGCTTTCAGTCGCTGGTCCAGTATGTATATCATCTCTCCTCCCATGTTGAGGAAGAGCAGGGGCATCGCCTTAAGTGACATCCTTCTGGAAGATTGCAAATCAGAAATTGTCACCCAATGCGAACGTGTTGAGATCTTGTATGGAGACTGTGGTATGGCAGACATGGACGAAGAGTTTGATAACAATGTCGCAGAATATTCGTTGATCGAACTGGCTCGGATCAAGCGGAGGTGGCAATATAAAACATGAACAAGTATGGAGTACTAATAATGGCGCTGATAGTTTGATAATTCGGTTCCAGCGTCAACAGCCAACATCATTTCAAACACCTTGTTGAGTGAGCAGGATGTAAATAAATCATGCCACGTGGCTTTTGGTTCCTAGCGGCCTCTGAACGCACAGAGTTCCCTTGGCCATTGACCTTGAACCCTGACATCTGACCTGTCCAGCCTATTTACTCGGCCCGAGGCACCCGGACGCTTAGATGACGACCGTCCGGCTCGATGCCGGCTGGTTGTTCCTGAGCGAGCAACAGGACGGGCAAAAGACAGAGACGAATACCCAAGCTTGGGGTGCAACAGCGTGAAAAATTGACATTCTGCCACCCACATGGCCGAACATCGGCGAGCATGGGCTCTATGGCGTTAGTGACCTCTCACCCCAACAAGAAGGAATGGTGCTGCAAGGAATTGAACCACTAAAACTACTGTTGGCATGTCAAAGCTTGCAGCAAAAAAAGAATCAGTTGGCAGGAAAAGTTACAAATGTGGACCATTTCAATGTGAGTTGCCACGATAACCATACCACAGCATCGCCTACTCGAGTGAGTGAAAACAGTGATAAATCGAGGCGTGAGCCCGAAAACCTACATGTGTGCGGAAAACCTCTTAAAGTTGTGGAGGGTGAGGGCGACGGTAAAACAGCCTACCAAGTGTGGCCGAAATCCGGAGGGAAATCAAATTTTGGTCTATGTCAGGTCAAGTCATCAGCCCCCACCCAAACCGATTTGAGAAAGTGACGCCCCTGTCCCGATCCCCCTGAAGTTGACGGCACATACGTGACAAAAACATGCTGGCATGCAGAAATTAGAAGGTGTGGGCGAGTTTTGCAAACAAAAATCCGGATTTTTTCTATTTGTCTGAGACTTTCTGTGAAAATAGCTCGATTTTATACATCCGAACCTCAAGCTATTTCTGTCCAAGTTGGTGGAGGATGAGGACGCAGTCTAGACTGCAGTCACAAGATGAGGACTGCAGTCCTAAAACTTCTTCCATCACTCCTAAGACATTTCCCCACCATTCCACAATACCCTGATGACATTTTCTTGTCCCCCACGATTTAAGCGGACAAAAAGGTGACATTGGTTTTGCAAACCAGACCACACTCGCGAAGAACTTCACAAGCTAGCTTTGACTTCAGCTTCAGCCCTGAGATATCAACCTCATGGGTCTGGTTTTGCCTTTAAATCTTCCATGCTCCAAGCTGCTGACAACAGCTTCGCGCACAAAAAATCGAGGCCACTAATTTCGGATTCAGCTTCGCGAACCACGTATTAAAGATACGCAGCTATCAGGTTTGTCTTCATTGCTGCAAACTGTAAAGCCATGAGCTTTGACTTGGACTTAAGCATTTTATTACTGCCTTGGCTTTTGATTCAACTTCGAAGCCAGAACCCTGGTGTTGTTCTCATGCTGGGTGACAAGGCTCAGTTACCCTGTGTTTGATTGTGTCGGATCTGTTTTTCAGCCAAATAATGCAAGCTTCTCACAAGTATGGCCACAGGCTCAAATTGACTGTCATTTGGCTGGACAAATTTGTATCTTCAACACCCCTGTGCGACCAGGTCAGTCAGACTTCTGGTGTATCTTTCCAGACAATGAGAACACCACATAACAGTTTTCAGTTCTAAGTTGCCTTTAGGGCTTTTGATCCATTCAGCAGCTGAGATTAAATGACATCACCTGCCCCTTACCCTTGCAAAAATGATAGGACATTATGGCTTTGAATCACTCATATGTGAAGCTGACCAAGGCTTCTCCCACACCAGTGCAGTGTTTGACCTAGCCCACTTCTGCTTGGATTGTTCATGTAAACTGGGTGGGGTCACATTAGAGAAGGTTGATTGCATGGATGTTATTTGAGAAATTGGATTCAGTAAGCTCATAAGATGCAGTTAGTTTGGACAAAGATTTTCAGCATCATAACTGCAGCTGTGTTACATCAAAGTCTTGACTGGAAGTTGTTCTGTTAGAAATTTTATATATTGACTGTTCCATTGAGGTTTAAGTATAGAACATTTTGGTGCACTCAATGCCTTCATTGGACTAAAAGTTCAATCTACATATATGTACATTCACTGAGCCAAATGCCCGCAAACATTGACACTCTGAATATGACACACATGTCCACCAAACTGATGTCAGGCCAAATTATGCTGATATGGCAAAAATTTAATGCCTGAGAAATATTTTGGATATTTTTGCTTGGAAGTATAACATCATAACCCATTGGATCATTGCCTCTTCATATGCTTTAAACAGTAACCATACACCAAGTTTGCAGGGTACCTTGATTTATAATGTGTCCTGATGTTATTGCTGCAATGTTAAGCAATTGCTGCAAAGCCAGATATCCATTAATGTGCTGATTTTCAGTCAGGCTTTAGGCTCACTAAATCCCAGAATCATACATATGACATTGGGTAATATTGGGGTTAAAGGGAACATTCCACATCTATATGGGCCTTTTAACTGAGATAACCATCTTAAAAACCTTTCAGTGCTGTTCACAATCCCACCTTTCTTAAGACCTCAAGACCCTTTAGTTTCTGAGCTGCATACACATGAAAATGGGGAATGGCATATTGGGAAAATTATTTCAGTCCCCTTGGCCATGTCATCATAAAAACTTCATTCAAATCCTGCAATTCCATGAGCCATACAGTGAGCAATGCCAATTAAAAATGTAACCATTAAGGCATTTCCCCCTGGTCTTCATGTCAGCAAGATTTTAAGATATGTGGCCCTCAATTGGCTCTCAATGAATGTTGTGTAAGGTATGATAACATTATCAAATTGTTACACCTTGGGGAGAATATTTGAAAAACAGAGAACTGTTGAGTCTAGAGCACTCTCTACTACTTAAAAGCATATCAATGGTTATAAGTGACCTTATTCCATCACATATCACATTTGCTTCATTACCTTCAACTGTGAAACATTCATTTTAATAGAATTCCATGGAAGCTAAAATGGTGCAATCTCAGAAGCACTTGAAGTCTTAAGAGTGATCATATCCCACCAAATCCCGGTGTGATAAGCCTGGAATAACTACCAATAACAGTGTGGGGTACGTCGTCCACCAGACGTATCGTACTGTTGGATGAGTGACGAACGATTGGACAACTGACCGATTCACAACATTGGTCAATGGTTCTCAGCTATTTATCTTCAAAGTTGATAACCTTCAATGCAAAAAATATGCATGAATAACAATATTACCTTCAAGAATAGCACCTCCCACAATCAACCCTCAACCATCCAGAATTGGTATTATATTGAAGATGCCTGAAACAAGCCATACAAATGACTGCGGTTCGCCGGAAATGTCTTAATGGTCCGGAGCGACCTCAAATACTGCCATTTCGGGGAGAGTTTGTTGTTTTTGATCGGAGTTTTAGGGCGCGCAGACTACTAGGTCATTTTGCGCCCTAACAGCTAAATGGCTTCCTACGAGTGTAAATGGCTAAAATTCCTATATCAGTCAGAAGTGAAAACCGCTGAGTCGTGACAGGGACGAGAGAGTCTTCACCAATGGTATCCGGTTAGGTGAGCCCATACAAATTGTTAATAATAACTTTTCCACAGCCTAAAAACTTCCTACACGCGGTATGAACTCTTCAGGCAGGTGTATATAAAGTGCAGAATTTAACATGCGATATGAACCTGAGCATATGTCCGATATATGGTAAGCTGTCACATAGTAAATCGGAGAACATCACGGACGGCGCCGCCGGGCTAATGTACCTCAGACGCTCGACGTGTGGTATGGGGCAGCATACGAGCACATGTTCCACTGTGAGCGAGGCGTTGCAGTGGCGACACCGTGGTAGTTCGTCGCGAAACAGTAGGTATCGATGCGTGGCATGCACATGGGCGATCCCCAAGCGACACAAAATAACTTCCTCCCGTCTAGACTTTCGATAGGATGACTGTCATTCCTGAACTTAATGGCCAAATGGCTTGATGCTTGGTGCTTGATGCTTGATGCTTGGCTTAATGGTTTTCAGTTTACTGGTGCCTTTTGCATCCCATGTGCTCTGCCATTCCAAGCGCAAAACAGTAGAGGTGGCTGAGTAAAGACCTGTAGCGGGTATCGGGAACGCTCTGCGACAGGGACGAAAAGTAACACGTTTTGCGGCAACGTCAGTCAGCTCATTTCCCGCAATGCCAACGTTGCTCGGAATCCAGCAAAGTACTATGCTCCTGCCAGCTCGACACAGAGAGTCGAGACGTAGTCAAATGTCCTGTATTAGAGGATTAAAACGCCCTGATGCCGAAAGGGCACTTACGGAATCCGACAAAATCACGTGCAGACTGTCTTTGATCGCGTCTATAAAGCAAAGCACCTTGATGATGGCCACAAGCTCTGCAATACACACGGACGCATGGGCTGGCAGTGTAAATGATCGCGTAGCAGGGCCACTCACAAAGGCGGAACCAACACCCGTATGCGTTTTGGAACCGTCAGTATACGTAATTCTGAACCTCCGATATGTTTCGACGTGTTTCAGAGCTGTTGATCTGGCAACACACGGAATCTTATTTTACTTCCGAACCTCCGACAATGAGACGTCGACGGTTGGCGATACTATCCTCCACGGAGCGGTTGGCAGGCTCCATGGGCGTGCCACACCCCGAACGCTTAAGCCACTCTCACGAAGAAAATTATGAAAACGCACACAGAACGGCGCCACACGCGATGTTTGTTCGCTTTGAAAAACATTAGATGTGTGGCATGAGAACACAGCGTCATGTGTTGGGTGGTTCGGGAATTGCGCGAGTTTGCAGGCGTACCGCATCCCCAACAACTTTTTTCGGGTAACCAGCGAAGGTGCGTTGGCTTCCACAAGCAAGCTGGCTGTCGGAGACGTACGACATGCACCGGTAATGATCCTCAACGCAGCATGATGGACCACATTCAATGTATGTTTTAGGGACTAAGAGGCGCGATCATACACAATATAAGTATAGTCTAGCTAGGCGCGTATCAGTGAACGGTATAACAAAAAAAGTGTTTTCCGATCTGCTCCGTAGGATGTTCGTGCCACGCATTTCAATATGTTCAGTGTCTTAAAACACTTGTCATGCAGAATTGTAAGATGCTCCTTGTAGGCCAAGCGCTTATCAAAATATAACCCTAAAAACCGTACGGCCGTATCGCAGGGGATCGGCTGTCCATAAAGCTTAAGCGCCATGTTGGGACACTGACGCCGGCGTCGACAAAAATGGACGGAAACTGTCTTCGAGATTGAAAACCGTAGCCCATTGAGTGTGCTCAACCTTTCTAAGCCAGTATCGGCGCGACATGGACGCTGTCGGGGAACTGCTGCACCAGATGGCGAGGTCATCAACGAAAAGCGCGCGACCAGTCGCCTGGGGAAGACTGTCCCCGACATCATTTATCATGACAGCGGACAACGCAACACTTAGAACACTGCCCTGGGGTATGCCGTTTTCTTGGGTGTATCTTTTCGAGCATATGGAACCAACACGGACTCGGAAGAAACGGTCAGCAAGAAAGTTCGCAAGAAAAGTACCCATAGCTCCGCGTATGCGATACTGGAACAGCTTCCGTAAGACGCCATATCGCCAGGTAGTGTCGTAAGCCTTTTCGATGTCGAATGACACACAAAGACAATCGTGTCTGAACCATTCGCTCCAGAAGTATGCATATAGAGAAGGTAAGGCGCAATTGGGCGCTAGTCCGACGGATCCATCCCATTGTTACCAGACTTCAGCAGTGGAACTATTAGCGAATCCCACCAAGGCGTCGGGAACTTTCCCGTCCCCCAGAACTGGTTGAATGCCACCAGCATAGCTTGTGTTGCTGTTGGTGGCAGTCGCTGAAGCATATCATTGGGAATGAAATCCGGGCTCTCCGCCACGCTGCGCAGAGAGTTAGTGGCAGACACCAGTTCCAGCATTGTGAAAGGTTTGTTATATGAAAGCTCTTCGGCTGTATGAAAGTTTATCTGAGCTGCTTCGCAACGAGCACGATGCCGTATAAAATCAGGAGTGGCAGTCGTTCGTCCGCAACGCTCCTCAAACGCACGACCCATTTCATTCGCCACATTAGATGGGTCCAGTATGTCCTGGCCATTCATACGAAGCACAGGGTGTGGCACTGGGGAGTGTTGGCCTGTTACTCGCTTCACCCGCGCCCAAACCACCGAAGCCGGCGTTTGGCAATTAAACTGGCCCACATATAAACGCCAAGACGTGCGCTTGGCCTCCAAGATAGTACGTCGGGCTGCCGCCCGAGCTCGTAGAAGGGCAATTAAGTTGTCCGCAGTACTGTGCCGATCAAAGTCTCGCAGGGCTTTTTTACGCGCACGTATAGCGTCGCGGCACTGGTCCGTCCACCACGGAACAGGGGGACGACGTGGGACACCGGATGTACGTGGTGTGCTTTCTTACGCCGATCGTAAGATTGTGGAGGTAAGTTCCTCTACAGATGCAGGCACATCCACCGAAGTGGAAGCCAACCTGGTTTCCACCCGTGCCCGAAATTCACTCCAGGCAGCCTTTCTAAGATTCCACAGCTGTGACCTGGAACCGAGAGATGCTCCGTTCCGGTAACGCAACCAGTTGGGGTAGTGATCACTTCCAAAGGTGTCAAAGTCCAACGCTGATGTCTGACCTGACGGCAGAGTCACGTGAGTTCGGGTCCCGGTGCTTAACACGCGCTCGGGTGGGGGGTCAAATTGACCCCCCCGCCCCCGAAGGTTTTCCAGAATGGTTTCCGAACGGCGCGGCGTAGCCGCGCCAAATTTTGCATAACTGTAAACAATGAAATAGCGGATCATTTGGGACCAAAATTTAGATGTACCTTGTAAGGTCGCTGACTTATGGCAGGTAAAAGTCAGACCACGGTCTCAGCGAAGGCAGTTTCTAGGGAATCCGTCAATCTGTATCCAACAACGGAGCGTTAGACGAAGTCATATACCTCTGAGATGCTTTCTAAGGCAACACAACAGTTGAATGAGCAAATTACATTGACCTAAGGTCAGGTATAAAGGTCCCACCAAGGTCAAACCAACCTGATTTGTTACTCTAGGCATGCTGTATGGGATAGTTTCTGGTGCTCATTTCGAGTTTATTTAAAGTAGGAACCGCATTAGACATCTTCCATAGACTTCCTAAAGGTCAGAATAGGGTCATTGACCTAAAATGACCCGGGTCAACATTTTGTTTTAGGACATACTGCCTAGTGTGATCTTTGTCGTTTAGTCAAATGCAAATCTCAAAGCAATCTGTATGGTTTTGGTCACTTTGACCTTAAAAATGTCAAACAAGGTCACTGACCTTGAATGAGAATGTGAGCCTTTGCTTAGAGCGGTTATCCAGGTTCTGGGGGCACTTTGGAAACCAACCTGGAACTTGACCTTGCTCGACCTTTTTTACACGAAAGTCATGACCTAGGAGCCTGAAACTGTGACCTAAGTGAGTTCACGTACTAGGTCAACATACCCTGTAAATTTGGTGTCTCTAGCGTCCTTAGTTCTAGAGATCTCAGTGGGGGGGGGTCAAATTGACCCTCCCCCACCCGAGCGAAGGGTATCTAGCCGGCCACCCGGGCGTGTGTTAAAAGACAGAGAGATTCATCTGCAAAAAGGTTTCGCAGTGCCTGCCGTGAGTGTTGGGCTGTGCGCAACCCCAAGATGTGTGGTGAGCATTGAAATCACCCAGCAAAAAAAGGGCGTGGGAAACTCGGCCACCAGAAGTACATTTCTCCCGTCGGAAACGGAATGCCAGGAGGTAAGTAAAGCGAGCAGACGGTTATTGCGCGACGCCCGAAAAGTACCTCGGCTGCGACAGATTGCAGGTCAGAATGTAAGACGGCGCGTTGGACCGAGGCACTGTAGTACTCAGCCAAAAAAACTCCGCCGTGTGCAGTTGAATCAGCTGGCATATCCCGACGCATTACGGTGTAGCTCGTGATACTGAACTGAGTGCCAGTTTGGTCTCCTGCAGGCAGGCGATGGCCGGACGACGCTGATTCAGAATGACTCTGAGATCGTGTAGACTAGTTCTCACGCCCCTGCAATCCTACTGTAAGATACCTGTCATAGAGCTAAGAAGTGAGGGCAGCCATCACACACCTAGCTCGCCAACACAACGCGCAGAATATCGCATCAAGACGCCTGCAAGGGGGCGTACTAAAAAAAGAGGTCAAAGTTACACTTTAAGATCCGCCACGATTTAAAGGAACTTGGCTGCGTCTGTTGCCGGACCGAACACCCCGGTCTGGAGATACGGTTCGG